ATATTGCCTATGGTGGGCTCAAAGTGTGGATATCTGATATTAACCAGTAGGGAGAAAAACTGGGAGGTCAAGGATAAGGTCACCAGACATTTTAAGAAAAATGGTTTTCATAAAGCTAAATCCTGAAATGAGGGGAGGGGAGATCTAAATGACAGTAAACCCCAGTCACTCTGGATGAAGTTAATGGAGTTTGAGTTCTTTTTTTATAAAAACGTAGAAGAATGCTGTATGATGGATCATTGTACTTTTCCCTCCCATACACCAACTGTTACATTCATTTTGGAGAATGTTTTGTCAAGGTCTTATATAGATTTTCTTAATTAGCACATTCATTTGTTTGACTTCTCTATATATTCATTTAATTCTTTTGACTAGGAAGCCTATTTTTTTTTCTCAGACACTTCGCTATCTGTGTAACACTGTGTTCCAGTCTAGAGGAGTTGGTGTTGCGGTATGGAGGGTGGTTGTGCCATGTGTTTTGTGTTGCTTTGTTATAGTTTACACATCCATTGAAATGGATTTGTTTCGAATTCTTCTCCTTCCAAGCCTATGGGACATTCTGCTTTCTGTAATTCTTCCTAGAGGAATGTCTGCATGAAATTTAGCTAGGAGTTGTGGTGAAACTGGAGTTGATTACTGAATGAGTAGCTGAAGTGATCTTGTCTTTGTGCAAAGAGGACCAATGGAAAGACATTCAGTGCTCCTTGACTGACCGAATTAATATTATGAAAATTGCTACACTATCAAAATTGATTCATGGATTTAATGTAGTACCTATGAAAATTCCAATATCATATTTCATAGGTTCAGAAAAACAACACAAGGATTCATATGGAGCCAATAAAAGACCATGAATAGGCAAAGCAGTCATATTATAATACCCAACCTTAAGTTACACTTACAGAGCTGTAGTCATAAGGACAGACTGGTACTGGCATAAAAATAGACAAAGAAGATCAATATAATAGAGGACCAGAAAAGAAAATAACAAAGCTATGCCTGCTTAACTTTTGACAGAGGAGGCAAAAACACATATTAAAAAAAGTTCTGTTTAACACATGCTGCTGCAAAACTGTGTTTCTGCCTGCAGGAGAATGACATAGAGTCTTATATCTTACCTTGTACAAAAACCAATTCAAAGTGGATCAAAGACCTTAATTTAAAACCTGAAACTTCTAGAATAAAATATAGAGGATACCTTTCAAGACACTAGGGAAAGAACTTTCTGAATAGAACATCAGTAGCTCAGGAACTAATTCCAAGTGAAAATCAGAAGTTTCCATATAGCAAGTCAGCAGAGCTAAGAGCCATCGAATGGGAGAACATCTCTACTAGCCATACTCCAGCGAGAGACTAATGTCTAGAATTTAAAGATTACAGAAACCAAATACCATGAAAATAAAACTGACAACCAATACATAAACAAATGAACCGAATATACAGTTTTTTAAAAAACAGAAACACAAGCAGTAATTATTATAAAGGTGTACAACATCCCTAGCTATCAAGGAAAAACAAATTACAAACTCTTTGAGGCACTACCTTACTCCAGTCAGAATGGCTGTCATCAACAATTCTAACAGTATGTTTTGGAGAGGATACAGACAGAAAGGAACCAATCATTACTCAGTACAGGTGAAGCTGCAAAATTAATACAGCCAATGAATAAATCAAATTGAAAATTTCTCAAAAAATTAGAAATATAACCACTATATGAATCAACTATTTCACTCCTGGGTATATAGCCAGAGTAACTCCTACCCTACCATACAGATATGTGGACTCCATATTTATTTCTGCTTTATTCAGTATAGCAAAGAATTAGAAACAGCCTAGTAGTCCACATATAGATGAATGGATAATGAGAATGTTATATATAATGACTTTAGAGTTGAATATCATTTATATATATGTAAATACTATTTAGTATTAAATGTAATTACAAAAATTACAGGAAAATGTAATTTTGAAGGAGGTCACACAATCTCAGAATGAAAAAAAAGTATGCTCTGTATCATATGCAGAATCTAGCCAATAATATGTGTGTGTGTACAGTATAACATCTACAAAAGAGAACAAGAAAGGCTACATATAAAGGGATGAAGAAGAACTGAATACAGACAATGGACATGAGTTGTGAGAGAGGCTTTAAAGCTAATGGCTTTTCTAGTTCTAAGTCTGTTATGAGTTTTTCATTTTATGCCATGGGTAAGTGCGTGAAGTTATATTAGCTAGTGAAAGTGTGAAACTCAACGGGAAACTCCATAGCTCCTGTTTCAAACGGCTACTCCAACTGTATAGACATTCATTGAGTTGTATAGTCTTTGAGTCTGGTTAATGTGTAATTTTAATGTGTAACTTTTTTCTTTGTAATGATTTCTCTAATAAAGAATGAACATAAAAACAAAAAAGAGAGAGAGAGCAGAGGAGTTGTATAATGCTTACTTCTCTGAGATGTGTTTGAAAATTCATGTTTTAGAGCCACAGAGGCCACTAGTGACATGAAGTCTCTAAAGGCAAGAAAGACAGAGAGATTGTATGTAGCAATGGCAGGTACTGGAAGATGGGCAGGAGGAAAGTACTGGGAGGCCTAAAGTGTGTCTGTGTGTGTGTGTATGTGCTCACGTGGATGGGCATGTGAGTACATATTTGTATGCATGTGTATGTATGCTCTCCTGTGAGTACCTGTGAAGAGTCCAGGAGTTAATTCTGGATAACTTTCTGATTTTATATCTTATCTCTTGAAACATGGCTTCTCACTGAACCTTGGTCTTGCAAGTATCTCTGTAGAAGGATGCAGAAGTGTTGGGACTGGACTCTTTGTGTGGTGGGGATTCAGTCCCCAGCTGAAGTCAGCTCCTCATGCTTGCCTGGTAAACACCTCACCCAGTGAGGCAGCTCTTCAGGTCTGCCTTGCTTAAAGGATCGTTTATGGGCTTCTTGGGGTGGGTCCTCAAGTCTGCTTTGGGGCCCGCATGATCAAAATTATTTTTATAATAATATTGATATGTGATTTTCTGTCATTCTCATGCTTCTGTGAGGATACACAGGATTTTTCAAGAGGCAGCACACTGAATAAGAAACAAGCATGCCTCTTAGCTGTTTCAACCAGCTAGCCTTGGAAAAATGTAAAACGTGCACTTTTCTTTCTGCACTATATTTTTGAACTGTATGTTTTTCAAATATCTATGTTATTTATATCAACAGTCTTTTCATTACTATTTATTTTTGAGATAGAGTCTCAATATGTAGTACATTGGCCTGGAACTCACCACTTAGCTCTGGCTGGCTTGAAACATTTCATTCTCCAGCTTCAGTTCCCTGAGTGCTGGGATTGTAGGCATGGGCCACTATTTCCAGTTTTCATTACTGTAAATGAGGTCAACATATTTAAATAATTAAAAAAACAGTGAGGTTAAATTCCTAACCTGGTATGTATTCATATATAGCCCATGTTAGAGACAAAGGCTCCCCAAAACCTCGGTTATGTTTTTGAGTATAGAAAGTTGCTGATACTGAAGAACAACAGACGGATCTGCATGGTGGTCTGGCCAGAACTGAGAAAGAATTATAATGCATTTTGGGAGCAAATGACTTCAGAGACTGTTGAACATGGAGAAGGGTGTCTGTCTGGAGAGGAACCCTGGGAGCCTAAGGAGTCAGGAGGAACTGTTGCATGCAGGGACCGCTGGGATATTCAATTTTGTGATTTAACTCATTTGTGAGCCTAAATAATTGCAACACTGCCATCTAGTGCTCCATAATGAAACAATTTGGTCCGCCCACCCCTGGGTTTATACAGATTGCTCCAGAACTGAGCATTCTTTGGATTAAATAGCTCCACCTGCATTGCTGATGTTTATGTCTCCATGTATGTAATTTTAAATGTCTTAAAGTCCCCATCATCTGCGGAGCATAATTAAGTGCTTCTTCCTTCTTAGGGTTTGGATCCCCACTGATACCTCCTTCCACTCTTTATATCCTTGTCGTTGAACAGGGACAAGCTCAGTTCAGAGTTGAGTAAATGAAACAAGTAATTTTCTGGGCTCAGCTCATTCCTCCACAAGAATGTTTTAAAACAAACTTTTAATTGTGGATTGTTTTGTCTTAAGGAAAAGTTGCAATGTTGTTTCGGAGTGTCCCAAAGAATACTCCCCACCCCACCTATCTCCTCTTAGCAGTGATGCCCATCGTTGTTAGCAGCACTGCCCACCAAAGATCTGTCCATTGGCAGATTGCCACATTTATACAGGCAATACAGTTTCAGAAAGAGGCCCAGGGAGAAGCAAGAAAGCCTAGGGAACAAGACAAGACAGGCTATATAAAAGCTTAGAGCTTGGCTTCCCATCATGCCTCTCCATATCAGAAGCCAGAAATCCATCAACCAATGTCTTTATCCCCTTCCCTCCCCAAACATACATATAAAAATGGACCTTGGGAGGACTCTGGAAGAATTGTGTAACTTAAAATCCATGCCTGTGCACTGTATTAAAAGGGTAAAGATTCATGTATGAATGTAACCTAGAACCTCTGCTCAGATGTAGCCTGTGGTAGCTCAGTAACCAATTGGTTTCCCATAGTGAGGGGAACAAGGACTATTTCTAACAGGAACTCAATGGCTGGCTCTTTGGCCTCCCCACCCCCCAAGGGAGGAGCAGTCCTGTTAGGCCACAGAGGAGAGCTTTGCAGCCAGTCCTGAGGATACCTGATAAAACAGGATCAGATGAATGGGGAGGAGGTCCCCCCTATCAGTGGACTTTGAAAGGGGCACGGTGGAGAGGAGGGAGGGAGGGAGGGACTGGGAGGGAATGAGGGATCGGGACACGGCTGGAGTACATAGTTAATAAAATGTAACTGATAAGAAAAAAATAAAATACAAAAAAAAAAGGGTAAAGATTAACTTGGTCAGAACCTAGGGTGACAGCTGTCTTGTCACAGCTGTGGCCACTCCTCTGACCTAGAGCTCTTCTTACTTCCACTTGTGTTTGCGCGCTGAGACTTTGGTCTGGGGTAAAAGGTCTTCACAGCTGCTCAGCTCTTCTGGCTGTAGTCCTGAAATCCTGTTAGTGGAGGGTGACAAGTCTACCTCTACAGCCATGGCTTTCCCTGTGGGGTTTGGATGGGGAGCAGCCACTGCCGCTTATCAAGTAGAAGGTAGGAGGAAATGCTTCCTACATTCTGGGGCTGAAATGGATGCTTTTGGTAGGCTCTGTATTCCTTGGGAGGAGGGTGGCGAAATCCTATAAATATAAAGTGTCTCTTTTTAGGCAAAAGAGACCGCATCCCCTTCTTTCCTTCCTCAGATGTAAGGAGTGGTGGGTGAGGGATGAGGATAGGTTGTAGCTGCCTTCCACTTAGTCTGAGCTGTCTGAGAAAGCAGTTTACATCAAGGTAGCCACCTTTGTGATTGGTTTCTTGAACAAATTTACCGAGTATTTGGAAAAAAATTTCCTCCTCATCCACCACTGGCTAGAATAGTGTTGAGTAAATCGCTCCCAGGAGCTCTTCATTAATTGGGAAATGTTCTCTGCTCTGTTCCAAGCGGGCCAAAGCAAAGTATTATCTTGAACATGTCACTTATTTCCTGGGTTAGCTCCTAAGAGAGGAATAACGAACTATTGGGCATAAATGGTAAATCCAGGCAGGCTTGGTGTTTTAGCTTCAGCCTCTACAGATGAATATATTATCACCCACACCCGTGTATGCCACACATAGAACAACTGGATTTACTTTTCCAAAACATATGTATCCTCCTATCCTGCCAAGCAATGAAAAAGTCTTTTCCTATTTGTTTATTTATTCTTCTCTCATATGCTATATCCTGACTGCAGTTTCTCCTCCCTCCTCTCCTACTCCCCTCCCATCTCTCCTCTCCCCCAATCCACTCCTCCTCCATTTGCCTTCAGAAAAGAGCAGGCTTCCAAGTGATATGAACCAAACAAGGCCTATCAAGTTGCAGTAAGACTGGGCACATACCCTCATATTAGGAATGGACCAGGAAACCCAGTAGGAGGACAAGCCTCCCAAGGGTAGGCAAAGGAGTCAGACAGCCCCCACTCCACCTGTTAGAAATAGCACAAGAATTCCAAGCTATGCAACCAAAGCACATATGAAGAGGGCCTAGATCGGACCCACGCAGGCTGCCTGTTTGCAGTTCAGTTTCTGTGAGCCCCTACGATCCCAGATTAGTTGATTCTATGGGTTTGCAATTAAGAATTCTTTTTTCCATTTTTAATTCTTTATTAATTACACTTTATTCACCTTGTATTCCCCCTATGGTTCCCTCTCTCCTCCCATCCCAATCCCTCCCACATGCTCCTCCCCAAGTCCACTGATAAGGGAGGTCTTCTTTTCTTTCCTTCTGCCACAGAAGAAGACAATGCAATTAAGAATTCTTTAACAGCCACCACAGTGAAAATTTCTCTACATTATTCGGTCAAAGGGGCATGTGGTGAAATCCTGATTTAAGCAAAGGTAAAAGGTTTCTTGTTGTAGCTTTATATGATTGCTGTAACAAATGATGTCAAGCTGTGAGGCTTAAGTAACTAAAGTTTGTTCGCTGACAGTCTCAGAGGCTAGTACTAGTCACTTGAAGATGCAGTTAGCTAAGTTTGCTGGAGTAGGATAGGGCTGTTACTGATGTCAGTTACTGTTACTGCTGTCCTCATACAAAGAAGAAAGTTTAGACGCTGAAAGGGACACACAAGAACACCACATGTGACAATAAATATGGAAATTGGAGTGACACAGCTATGCACAAAAAAAAATATATATAGCCCAATTTCAGTGGCCACTACCAGGTTCACAGAGGTAGATTTTAATTCTCTTTTTATTGATAGAGCTTTGGGTGAAATTTCATTGATTTCAAGTCTTCCTTCCTACTTAGCCTCTTAGTGTTGAAAGCTAACTGAAACCTTGGCACTGCCACCTGGTCACAATTCTAATAAGCTTGTTTGGTTTCAGTATTAGCTTCAGAATTCATAGTGTCAAATTTATTAGATGATTATTTATGTCCTAACAATTTTTAGATTTATTTATTCTACTTTACATGTATGGGTGTTTTGCCTGTGAGGGTATATGCACCAGCCACATGCATGCCCAGTACCCAAGGAGGTAATAAGGGGTCATTTGGATCCCCCCAGAACTGGAGTCATAGATGGTTGTGAGCTACCATGTGGATGCTGGGAATTGAACCCCCATTTTCCACAAGAACAGTAAGTGCTGTTCACCAATGACTCATCTTGCTAGTTCCTTTAGGCTCTCTTTCCAATTTTTTTTCCTGTTCTAACCACAGTGAGGCCACTTGATATACCAAGAATACTGCTTTGAACTCTTGAGTGGCTACACCGACTGTGGAGAATTATTGTGGTAGACATTAGGAAAATGTGGTAAGAAATTAAAATACTCTCCTTAACAAGAATAACTATAAGAAAAACTTACGGAATCCAAACAATTAAAAGTTTAGGCAATAAAGATAGTCCATCAGTATTAAAACCCATCTGGTCCTGGTGTTTGGGGCATGATGGCAGTTAAGATTCATAGTCATTACAAAATGATCTTATTGAAAGACTATCTATTTTTGTATAGTTATCCTGGCAGTACAGCTACAGTCCACATAGAGAACTCCTAAAAATAGTCCCAGACTTGTTTTTCAAAAAATACCTTCTTTAAAATAAATCTTGTTATTTTATATTTATTAATGGTTTGCCTGCTTACATGTCAGTATATCGTATGTGTGCTTTGTGTCCATGGGTACTAAAAGAGGGCATAAAATCCTCTGGAACTGTAGTTATGAGCAGTTATGGGCTGCCATGTTGGTACTGGGAATTGAACCTGGTTCCTTGGGAAGAGAAGCTAGTGCTATTAACTATTAAGCCATTTATTCAGCTCCCAAAGATATTATCTTAAGGAGTATAGTAGATTTAGCTGAGTTATTTTATTTAATCCTGCCCTAGACTCTGTCTAGGAAAACAGTGTTTATATAAGGTGAAAGATCTCAGAATGCAAGTCTATGGAGCTCAAGTCTGATATAGAACTCACCCATTACCCCACATGCTGCGAAATATCAGTGGATCAATGCATCTGTAAGAGTGTTTGCTGCTCCTGGGCATTCTGCAAATGTACTTCAAATCTCACCTCTGATGACTATCTATTAAGAGGGAAACTTCAGGTAAATTAATTTTAGCAGGGTTTATTTGAGCAAGAAAATGATTTATGAATTGGATTGTTCCCTGAACCAGTTAGAGGAGGACAAAGCAGCCAGCTCTGATGAGACGTGATAAACTATGGTCAGATGGAAGGGGAGGTTGGAGAGGAGCATAGGAGGAGATGAGGGAGGGGGGTGGGATTGGGAGGGGCTGAAAGAGGAGGCTACAGCTGGGATACAAAGTGGAAAAACTGTAATTAATAAAAAAAAGACACACAAAAAACCCGCAGGAATGGAGAGATGGCTCAGTGGTTAAGAACACTGGATGTTCAATTCCCAGCACACACATGGCAGCTGTCTGTAATTCCAATTCCAGGGGAATTTAACACCCTTAGGCAGACAGCTACGTAGGTAAAACACCAATCAATCTTCTAAAAAAGTATATATGTAAAAAAATGATTCAATAATCCCACCTAGTGATGTGGGTAGTCAGTGTAGGAAGACAGAAAAAGGAAGGGCTATGCAGAAATAACCTAGCAGCACTCAACGTTTGTCTAATTTGGGCCTGTCTGAGGAAGTTAGCAGCTTGTGACTGGCTAGGTTTCCGGCTGCTATGATTTTTCTAAGCCATAGGTACTTGTCATAAGTACATACTCCTTTAGCTCACATCTATTTACATATTAAGTAAGGTTACAACTCTCCAAGTATATGAACTATTTCAGACTAAATTCTATTAACATTCTTCACTTTTCGAAATAGAGGATAATTATGCCGTCTACTGCAGAACAGCCACAGAAGTGTTCTATGCTAATATGTCTTCTAGATATAATATTCATATTTAGGGGCACACCAGAAAGATTGCTGAGGATTACCTACTACACAACTCCAAGGTAACTCGACACAAGCATACAACTATTTTTATAAGTGCATGTTAGGTTTCAGTCACCAACATCCTGTTCCGCTGAGGACCTGGGGTGACCTTAGCCAGTCTATCCTGTCTTCCTCTCCACCTGTCTGCCTGAAGGAAGTCTTCCCATGTTCTTCTGCACTGGGTTTGGTTACACCTTATGTTAAGGGCTTTGTTTATGGCTGCTAATTGACTACTGTGTGTTAACTCTCTATCAATAGCTTCTAGGCTGGGGTACTTGACCAATGTGCTGTATGGGGTCCTCGTCCTGTTAGTTTTATCAACTCACTGAATGACTTCTCTGTGCTTGCTTGTTCTACCTTAGAAGTGCTGGGTTTGAGTTTTACTTCAAACATTTCTTAGTATAATAAGGGCAGATGAAACACTCATTTCTCAGTTTCCTTAACTGTGGAATAGGAAATTGCCAGGTTCGCTCTATAGCTGGGATCTGGGTGAGCATCTGTAATTGGAGCACAAGAACGCCTGGCACGTGATGTTCATTAGCACTAACTCAGATGCTCCTATCAACACGAGTAGAGTTCTTTCTCTTTCTCCTTGGGCTGTGCTCACTCCAGCCTGTACTTGTGAGCAGAGCATCTTCATCTGCTTCATTTAATGGGGAAGCTCAGTTCTTCTTTCGACTCTAAATCACACACTGCCCACTCCTTTCGTGTTCTTGACTATTTGAGTAGCTGCTGTAAGAAAGAGAAATTACTTAACCTTCTCGTCCACCATTGTTTCGATTTCAGATACAGGAAGCCCAAATGTGGCTTAGTTAGATCGACATGGGCTGAGTTTAAAAAGCTGGCTTGAGCTTGTCACTTTTTCATTTGGAAAATCTTTGACTTTTTGTTATACCTCAGCCTATGGACCTTTGGAAAGTCACAGCCACTGAGAAAAAAGGAGGACTGAATGAGAATGGTATTTGTAAAAAAAAAAAAAAAAAAATTAGCAATTGAGTGATTTTGTTCTGAAACATGTATGTCTTTTCACCAGTTTTCAGAGCATGATCGCCTGTGTAGGTGTATTTATTTCCACTCTCTTGGGAGCTCTGATGTATTCCTGTACTGAAAATTGAGATATTGGGAAGCTTTGGTTTGT